CACATAATTGAATCTCTCCCATTTAACTTCCATCCAACAAATCCATCACGCTGGCCAACACCAATCTAATTCGGCTTTTATTAAAGGATACCACGCAGCTCACTCACTTGCAAGATTCTTCAACCTCTTTTAAAGATAATTCTGCTTTATTTCAATCTGTTTACCATCAGTGTGGATCCTGGAACACCAGGTTTTTTCCATGCGTAGTTTGTGGAGGTGACTTTCTGGAAACAACAGGCAATGGTGGATCACAAGCAGGTTCTGGTTAGCTGTATTATTTGAACACAAACTCCAAAGATGAGGAGATAAATCAAATAGTGAGACAGTGAGACTCGGAGGATGGAGGCAGAGAGACAACAGGTGGTCCTGAAAGACAATCTTCCTTTGGAAACCAGTGCTGCTGCTGCTGCTGCTGCTGCTGACAGAGGAGGAGGACATTTGCTGCAAAGGGAACTACTGATGCGAAACTTGGAAAATCTCCATGTGTCCATGAATAATAGTAATCCCAGCTGTGGAACCAAAACTAATAAATCTACAGCTTTGATAAAGACAGCCATCCAGGATACGGTGTCTGGAATAAGGTAGAAGAAGACCATGCGCTCAGCTCCCCCATACGATAAGGAAAAGCTATTTTACATGCTGGATATCTTGTTTGCTAAGATCTCTCCAACACAAACACACTTAGCAGAAAAAGGCCTCACTCTTGTAAACAAACTGGTGTGTTCAAATAGATATGAAGGGTGATTAGGTCAGATGGGAAATTGTACAGGGAATCTCGAACGCAGTTGGCAAAATGGATGTTATGGCAACAAAGATCTGCTTAAACGACTGAAATGATTCATGCAAAATTCAAATTTTTTTAGGAGAGTTGCAGAAAGCTTGGACTACTTGCACTAATACTTCCTCAAATTTGTGCAGTGGAGATCTATAATACAAAGTTAGCATGGCATATAGAGCCACGCTTTAATAGGACATAAGTGCGTGATACGTTGATGTGATTGGTTAAGTTGTAATTAGTGATGCCTGATATTAAAATTTCTGGCCGATACCGATTTCCGATATTAAGATTTCTGATATCGCCGATAACCGATATTACCGATGTCGCTATCCAGTTTTTGTTCACACCGAAAAATAAGTAAGCACTGTGAGAACATGAAGACTATTCAAAAGAAGCCCATACTAAATTAGACCACATAGTCTTCTTTATAACAAAAGTAAAACATATTTAAACATATTTTAACATATTTAACGCTCAAGTCCAGAACCATTTAAGTAATATCGCGGGCAGCTGTGGCAGAGCATGTTGTCCTCCAATCACAAGGTTGGCGGTTCAATCCTCCCCCCTCCACAGTCAAAGTGTCCTTGAACCTGAAGTTGCTCCCAATGGCAGGCAGCACCTTGCATGGCAGCTCTGTCGCCATTGGTGTGTGAATGGGTGAATGAGAAACACATTGTAAAGTGCTTTGGATAAAAGCGCTATATAAGTGCAGACCAATATCAAGTGTAGAGATGAAGGCGCGAATGTTAGACAATCATTGGTTTTTCACATTGGCTAAATTTGCTCATTGGACCGATACCAATACTGGAAAAAACACTAATATCGAAGTGGTCACCGATATATTGTGCATCCCCAGTTGTAATAAAAGGTCTTAAATTAGTTGTTTGAAGATTAATGGTAACAATATGAGCCTATTCCTCACTCAACAATCAAAAAAAAAAGGGTAGTCAATTGAGGCTTTACATATAGACTCTAAAATAAATTAAATAATACATATATCTAACTCGTTCCTTTCCCTCTGTTGATATTCCCCTCTGAGTCCAGGGATCCAGACCAAAGACCACCCAGTCTCTGCTTCAATAGACCACCACCACCACGCTTATCAGTGCTCCACAGAAACCCCCATATCTCCAATTTGGTCTTTTACGGCTCTGAGGGCTGATAAGGTTCCCCAGATGTTAGCAGCTCCCCCGTGGACTCCTAACATCTGATATCAACCTATAGTTAAAAACCCTCACATCTGATACTTATAGAAGTGTCATGCCTTGTGATTTGGATGCACGCTGTTGTGTTTTGCCAGACTTAAATCAGTTTGTCCCAAAGGCTTGTTAATTGAAAAAAACAAAACAGTTTTTTAATGTTGATGATGAAACCCATTCACAAACTGTATGGATTAATGCCCTGCTCTCCCTCCTCCCTCCTTCCTGTGTGCAGCAGAGAGTCAGAAGCTTATATCACCCTCTCTCTCTCTTTATCTCTCTCCGAGACTCCATCGTCTTTCACACAGAGAAACAGCCGGACTAGAAGGGGAGATAGATGAAGCTGTAATCTCGGGGAGCTGATATATATTTGGTGTTTCTGTGCTTAGAGTTCCAAATGGGCCAGAGGAGGATGGCGGTCGCACTTGGTCTTCAATTTCTCTCAGGCTGGATGTGCAGAATGAATGACGAGGAGAAGGAGACTCACACAGCCAATCTGGCACATGAGGAAACAGTATTAATGCAGGAAAAACAATGCATGTGTGTGTATACGTGCATGAGTGTAAGTCAGTGGCTCAGGGTGTAGGTAGACTCCCACAGTGCGCCATGCAGGGAATAAAAGCGGTTTTCACACAGCAACTTCCATGCAGCAGGTTTTAAGCTTCGTCAAGTGAGACAGAGTTATGAAAAAGCACCCTGGAAATAAGGTGATGCTTACTTCAAAATAAAAGCATTGGGAATATTCCACTCTACACAAACGTTTTGCAAATAAATAAGAAGAAAAGTAAATAAACTATCATACAATGCTCATTAAAAGTAGACTTTATACAAATTAATAACAAAAAACAGAGCAAAAAAATCTAAACCAATAAAAATATTTGTACACAATTCTGAAAAAGTACATCTTTATCATAGATTTTAAAAACTCAATTCCAGATCATTTTGCTGACTAAATTAAATATTGCATTTGAGACCCTATAGCAATATATGTAGTCCAAATACACCTAGCTAGCTGAAACATTAGGGTTAAGATTACAATATTACATACTTTACCAAATTACCCAACTAATTAACAAAAATATATATACTCCAAATATATGCACTCCAAAATTACTCATAGACTCAGACTGAGCCTGCTAGGCCGAATAAATAGTTGATTCCAAATGGAAGTCACATCTTGTAACAGATTAGCACGCTGGATATATAATTGGAGATCCAACCCAGCACCTGTTTTAAATGCTGACAATAGATGTTTTTTAATTCTTAAATGCACAATGTGGGGATGCAAAACCAGGCTTTACTGGGATTCTTTTACTGAATTTAGTGAGTATTCTAACATAGGAAGTTTGGACTTGTGATAGAAGCATGGATAACAGTTTTCAAGTTCTCTATTGACAGAAACATTCTTATTCTGGAACATTTTAAAAGTGCAACAAGACAGACTGGAAAACAGTTCAAAATGTAGTTTGGTGTCAAAGATAACCTTTAGATTAGGAATTGGTGTATAACTTCAAGTTGTCTTAAGCTACGAGAACAATGGAGCCAACTCAAAGAGATGCTATTGAACTCATTTTGTTGTGAAAATATTGCATAAAAAAGCCATGGGGTGGTTCACAGTATAAATTCTGACCGCTGACAACAACAAGCAAAGCCCATTACACGGCTTCGCAGACAATCATAGAACTAGCATCGCATTCAGTTGCAGCATTTTATTTTATTTTTTTTCAAAATCATTTCTTTTCAGATGTTTTCCCAAGCAGCTGCATTATACCAACATAACCAACCCCACTGAACCACATACTAGATATGAACCTGTAGTTCTGACCAATCAATTAATGTTTAAACTGATTTCATAGAATATGAAAATGTTGTAATATGGAAATTTGGACATATATTTTCTTTTTACAGGTTTTCTCATTAAAATATGTAATGTTTAGGTTTAGCTGTAAATGAAGTAGTAACTATTCTAGCTTTGTAAATAAACAAAAAGCAAATCAAAGCAAAAGCACAACTTTAGGAATTGTACCATATTTTTATTCAGTAGATGATTACATAAACAAGTTGGTTTACTACATGACAGTCTTGCCTGCATAAAGCAGCTTTCACACAGGATGCGGAACCGGAAACACTTTTATTTTTATTGCTTGTGCACGCCGGGAGGTGATCCCGCGCGCTCGCTGGGTGAACTTTGACTCCTGCGCTGTGACGTAGCACCGGTCAGCCAATAGGAAGGAGGCATGTCGTCTGCCTGCTGGAGGAAAACACTTGTTGTGTGTCTGAAGTCACCGAATTATGTGCCACAACTTTGCGGTTGTGACACAGGGAGAAAAGTTTTCTTAATAGCAACGACATTACCTACGGTCAGTGCTATGACATGGCATATGTTTTGAATTGGCGCCATATACATAATATTGAACTGAACGTAACAACGCTGACGTTTATCGCGTTCTAGCTAGGCTAATGCTAACGCTCGCTACCTAGCACTGGACAATTACATCTTCGCTGTTGAAGCTTTAAACTGAAAGCTTCCGGTTTGAGAAGATAGTGACATGACCCCGCTGGAAGTTCTAAAACTCTTCCTATTTTCTTCGTAATCTGCGACTCTCCGGGAGATGTGCGCTGAAACAGGTAAATACTACTTCCTGTGTGAACGCCAATATTTATTTAGTTTTAGTGGATTGCTTAAAAAAATAAAATAAAAAATAAATAAAAATAAAGAAGCAATTAAATGAATGAATCATGTGCAAATGTGAGTAATGACCTGAGCTGTAAACATTGCCTATGTCGCTGCAAAAGAAGCCAGACTTCAACTTTTTTTTTTCTAAGATTATGTATGAGCGTGGTTTTATTTTGAAATCCTCTCCAGGTAGTGGCGCTCCTGTATTTTATCCGGCTTGCCGCTCGTCATGCCGCTGCGCTGTGTGGATTAACAGTGCGGGAGACGCGACCTGCGAGGAGGACCGAGGATCAGCGGGACTGGACCGTTAAGCTTTCGGTGTGAGAGTCACGGGGCGGCTGCTTCACCGGGACGTTACCTGCTCTCCTGTTCTGCTCTGCTCTTTTCTATACCCTGTTTTATTTTATTTTTTTTGTCTCTCTCTCTTTTCTCCTTTACTCCCGACTGCAGAGGAGACGCACAGAGTTAACAGAGGCTGAGCGACGTGAACAGAGACTCGGAGAAAGAGAGAGAGAGAGAGGGAGGGAGAGGGAGTGAAAATCCAAAAATCCTTTATTGAAGGTCCAAACGGAACCAGGAGATGTGGATTGTTTCATAGCCAAGAAAGTCTGCTTTACCCAGTGGATTTCAGAAAGAATGGAATAACTGGACTTTGCCACCCTTTCACCTGGGATATTTTCTATCTTGCGGTGGAATTCTTCCTGTTTCACCTGCCGGAGGTGAAAAAGGAGGAGGAGGGAGGAGGAAAAAAGAAGAAAAAGGTAGAGAGTGAAGGGAGGAGGAGAGGAACGGTTTGGTGAGCTGGGAGAACCGTTCCAGTTTTTTTTTTTTTTTTTCTCCCTTTCCCCCCCTCTCGGATGGGATTCTTCCTTCAAGCCGCGGATGGAGGGATGAAACCGGGAGCGAAGAAGACGGGGGAGAGTGAGAAAGAGAGAGGAGGGAGAAAAAGAGGAGGATGTAGTCGTCGGGCGCTGTGAGAATGCAAAGCGGACGCACCCCTCTGGAAGACAGGATTGAACTATAAACCCAAACGGAATTTACAGCCACCCAAAGGATATTACACACATTTTACCTCGATACGCACATATATGGGGCATATTGTCTTGTCTGGAGCCTATCTGTGTGGAGTTACAACTACCATCACCACTGTCTTTGTAATAATGGGATTTGGAGAGATAATTGCGCCCTGACACTCGGTGAACCAAGGAAACATACACGGAAAGAGGTAAAGTTGAAACTCCTATATATATATCCTCTTTTACGCACCACCTATCTATCTATCTATCTATCTATCTATCTATCTATCTATCTATCTAGACTCCTCATTCCTTGTGCCTGCGTCTGTTGGAGCAGGACAACCATGGTTGTTGGGGGGTAAAAGAGTTATTTCTAGATTTCCTTGCATTGACATTTAGTCTGGATGCTGGAGCGGGGCGGGAGGGAGGCAGAGCGGGTGTATTTTTGAGAGCAGGCAGGGTGGTGGTGGTGATGGTGGTGGTGGGGTGCTGCATGTAGAGAGAAGGTGCTGAAAGAAAAAAAAAAAGCAGCATTGGGAACATTGCAAGGTCAAAAAAATTGCTATAAGTTGGAGAGGCTCCGTGGTTGTGTGTGTGCGCACTGGTCTCCGGTCGGTGGACTCAGCTGTGAGCTACATGTCAGCAGCGGCTCTGCACCCCCTCCGTACATGCGTGTACGCGGGCCAGAGCAGCCAGAAAGAATGGAAAAAAAAAAACTTATGCGTGTGCGCGCTGTGCGTCTCCAGCCACCCGCACTTTAGTGTTTTAAATGTCCATGCAGCGGCTGGTGCGCAAAAAGACGCTGCGCCTCGATTCCCCCGTTTCCCCACCGTCCTCTGTGCGCCACACACTGCACCTGTACCTCAAAAGACGACTGGGGCGGGAAATGGGGTGGGGGTGGTGTGCTCATATGCACAAAATGTATATATATGTATATTGGATTCATCTGTGTGTGTGCGCGTGCGCAATGCAACCCCGGCCGTACACCTTTTTTTCTTGGCACAGAATTAAACTGTGGAGCGATGGAGTGTGTGTGTGTGTGTGTGTGTGTGCGCGCGCAGCGTGCTTGTCAGTTTCAAATGATGATATGGAGTTGCGTGTGCGTGCGTGTGTGCGTGCGTCCGCGTGCCCGCCCTGACATACAACACTGGATATTTGACACCAGTGAATGGAGCAAGAGATAATGGTATCCTGTGCTGTGCATTTGAAATCCAGTTTGGGCACCATAGTGAAAAAAAAAAAAAAAGGGAAGTGCTTTCTGGTGTTTTGCATACACACATGTTGTGGTGCAGTGTATCATGCACGTGTGTGTGTTTATTCAACGAAGAAACCTGAGATTCAGAAAAACTCATCATACACACTGTAGTTGAAGAATTCCGTCTTTGTGCTGCTCCATTATCTCTCTGTTAATGGAAGCGTATTCTGAGCTGTCTTCATGTCAAGAGGACCTCGGTTGCCGTGAACCTCTCGGAGCAAGGCAGCATGATGGATTTTGGGAGCTCTACAATAGAGGAGGGAATCTGTTTAAACTGTAAAAACCATAAGCTTTACACATATTACGTCTTGGGTAGATTCCACTTATACTGAATGTACACATGATGGTCTGTGCCTGCTACACTTTATATGGCTCTTCAGCAGAGATAATTTCAGTTTCATCCCTTTTTACATATATTTTTTTGACAGTATTCAGCAGCTGGGAGGTTTAATTTTGCATTCAGCCTACAGAAAGGAATTGATTTAAAAAAAATGGAAACAGTTGAGGGTTTACTTTCTTTATGAGAGACATACTGCATGGGATATAGGAATACTGTAATAACAATTAAGCACAGGTTATTGTGGGGTAGGCTAGAGTGAAGTTGGTTGCTGAACTGAGCCTATGGAGCATGCTAAATGATGGCCATTGACACAGAGTTCCTTGTGAAGGCTTCCTAAGCAATTTGATAATGATGTAGAGAAAATCAATAGAAATCATCTCATTTTAACCAAACCTTTTGCCAGTGAAGGTCTGCGGAGCTTAATGTGCCGCTAATTTAGAACTGTGATATGTCAACATTCGAAAATTGCCCACTTTCTGTTTTTTTTTTTTCTTCTCTCTCTTCCCCTCCCATGGCTCTATCTCTTGCTGGCTGGGAGTTTCATGAGTTCGTACCGGTACAGTAGCTCGCATTGATTGATCAAGGCAATAAATTTATGCACACGAGCCACTCATGCTGGTGCTAATGGCCCGTGGATATGGAGGCATTATGCAAATGCTTTCCCGGCTCTAGAAAAAGAGTGTGGGTGAACGAGCGAGGCAGAGAAACTGGTGATTTTCAGTCCATTTTAGTTGTGTTTAGCCTCCTATTTACGCCTAAAAGGAGTGGTTTGCCGTGCCATTAGGTTCGGGATGAATGGCAACGCATTTGTGCTCCAGATTGCGTCTTGAGTTTTTTTTTTTTTTTCACCAGGAAATGTAAGACTGGAAAGAAAGAGGTTGTGTTTGAAAGCTATTCCTGACTAGCTTTTTGACATTTGATTTGCTTTGCTGGCATCTGTGTTGAATGAATCAGAACTGTACAGCTTGTAAGCCTCGGCACGGGTTCATGTTTCTCTCTTGATAATGAAAGTTCACTGGATGCCGAAGCACAAACATCTCTCTCATCCTTTATTTTCCTCTTCTCTCTCGTTATTGTTCGCCTCTCTTTCACCCATGCAGCCCTCCCTCCCTCAAACAAAACACGTTGAGCCTTATCTAGCTGTAATGCAGCGGGGTAAAGAGGCTGTAAGGATGGTTCTTTATATTTTATAGGGGCAAGAGGGGGATTTTTATTATGCTAGTCTTTCTTCTTGCCCTCTGTTTATCTCTCTGCAACTTTCCCCCCTCTCTCTTCCTCTCTCTGTTTAGCTGTCTGACAGAGGGCTGCAGGATCCTGCGGAGTGGGTGGTGGAGCTCTAATTCAATTTATTCTACTGCTCAGAAGCAGACAGAGAGAGCAGTGGAGATAGTGAGCGAGAGAGGGAGGGAGAGGGATGGAGACCACAGATGTTAGGGAACATTTCCTATTAGCAGTGGAGAGGCAGGCCTTATATAGGAAGCTGTCCTGACGCTGTGACATCTGCAAGGCTGCTGTGACCGGCCGAAATTCTGTGTGCGCAAAACGAGTGTGTGGTCATTATCAAGGGAGACAACATGGCCTTAAATGCCATCAGAGAGTATGACGAGGGACAACAAACAACAAATCCTCTTCCGTGCTACTCGCCAAAACATCTGCTGACACGCAAATGACTGGCAGCTCCGAGTGAAGCTGTCGCAAGGATACAACTGGCGAAGTCTAAATCCTTACAAGGAAAACAAACAGCTGAGAATCTGCACTGAGAGGAATCTGGCGTGTCGTTAAAATGCTGCATGGAAAATAATTAATTAAAAGACTTCTCATGTGGTCACACAGGGGTTTTCATAAACCACGAGTGCAGGCAAAACCTCAGTGTAGGTTATTGGATTTTAATGTGGCTATCGATGCCATCAGCTGTGGTTGGACGACATGCTGATGTATGTCATTTGTTTTGAATGATTTTTGCAAGAATGGGATGAACTGCTTAATTCGCCACATATTTAATTTACTGCATTATTTATACTGTCATTTATTGATTTTTTTTGACATAACATAGCATCCCCTGGTCCTGGTTCTATCCATATAGCTCACCGATACCACAAGTCTTTGTTTCAACTGGACCTGTAGAAACTTAAACAAACCCTAACATGCATAGATTCATGTTTGTTTTTTTTAAAACATACAGACTTAATCCCAGTGGGACCCAAGCACAGAAAGACCCAAGGATAATTAGACCTTCTGCAAAATGCGGTTAAACCAAACAAACCTTAACAGAGCGAGAACACAGACACCTGTTTGTGTATTTGTTGTTGCTTACAGAGGATAATGTAGTTGTTTTGGATGAATTTCATTAGCGGGCATTCTTTACATGAGTGCAACACAAATTTGGCTGAACTGCAACTTTGTCCTCTTTGTTGACAATTAGCATTGTCCTCTTCAACCAGTGAGTCAGTTTTACCATCTCTGCAAATAACTAGTTTGAATGCTGTCTCTCCAGTTGGACTTAAAATATGAAATTTCATTTCTGTATCTGTAGATATCTGCTGTGGTGTGCCTCAGGGTTTAATATTTGGTCCTCATCTTTTTTTATTTTTTTGAAATTTGTATATGTTTCCACCCAAGTAACCCCAGTTAAAGGCTTTTGTCTTTGATTTTCTTGAAGCTGATGCTAAATGTTAGGAAGCCATAGGCAGCCCGATATAGTGTAGGATGTTTACTGCTTTACTCAACATTTTGGTATTACTTTGATTACCTCGCTGTTTCTGACATATCCAGATCAGCCCTCGAACAGATCTTTTTTACCAGTGTGTCAACTCACCAGACTATTGTGGATTTATTGCCGTTAACCTCTTAGATGACCACAATCTGCTACACAAGTTAGTTTACAAAATATAACTATAAATGAAAGCAAGATTTACCAGTTATGTTTTTTGACTACATGAAATGTTGCTTATCACACGTGACTTCCAAAATACAATCACGTGTTCTTTAAAGTCAGCATTTACACAGTAGTATTTTACAAGCTATTGCTGTGCTGGCACACTGAAACTAGTGCCACAATAGTGTCAAGTTACTCTAAATAGATAGCCTGTCTCTGCCAAGTCAGGATTAGTCCTTGGCTGGCTGGTAGCTTTAGTTAAGTTCCTGCTTAAAATCCACTACCAAGCCTTTAATTATAGTAGAATAGATTTGTTTTGTTGTTGGTAATGTTTGAGTGGCATTTTCTTGGAAATTCAGCTCATCGGTTTTGTGACTGCAGCTGCAACAAACCATCTTTGTAAGTGGTAAATAGATGGAATTTTGTTCAGTCAAAGATGGTCACTTTAAATGTCTCTGTTGCTTCCTTTCTTTTTTTTTTTCTCCTCTCTGTAAGTTAAATTACTCTCACATCCACTTGATCCCTCCACCCCTCTTCCTTCCACACACCTGCTGCTTCACAATCAGCCGTGACGTGTCTGACACTGCATCCTGCTTTAGGAAGCCGGTGGGGAGCATGTTGGAGTGTGTCTGTGTGTGTCTGCGTGATGGTGTGAGCGAGAGGCACGGGTGACATGACAGATGTGAGACATGTTGGCCGATAATGAGCTGTGTGCAGTGCAGATAACTGTGTATGAACG